TTGATACGTGGGCAATAACCTGTCTGTGTATGAATCTTCACAAGTCTTGTTTTTATATGGTCACCTGTAGTGTACTTTATTGACGTATTTATGTTTCGCAGTGATCAGAACTGAGTATTGTAATGTATTTTAACATATTCAAATCATGTAAAATAATAAAATAACAAAGAAAAAAAGTATTGTTATAATTCTAATTTGATCTTCAAATGTCAGTAAAAAACAACATAATGCTTACATGGTGACATGCCTATAATCGATATCTCTCCCTTTATTAAAAATATAAACAGCACAAGATTGATTGAATTGGCGTATCGATACTTGAGTACCACGTATCTGAGTAAACGATTCATTCATTCATTCAATCATTCATTCATTCATTCATTCATTCATTCATTCATTCTCTCAAGTGGCGTGTCATAGAACTATTAGTATTTTTGAAAAGAAGCTGCCAAACACACTGTAAATCTTCCTCAAACTCCAAAGCGCCCTCAGTGCTCATTGTGCCTTCCCATAAATCATTGGAAAACAAAGAATATGTTTGGAGAGGGTTCACACTGCAATCATACCTTGTTTCAATACGACAGCTTTTGCAATTACCTCTGTTCACACTACAATCATACTTCGTTCCAATACGACAGCTTATGCAATTACCTCTGTTCACACTACAATCATACCTTGTTCCAATACGACAGCTCATTCAATTACCTATGTTCACACTACAATCATACCTTGTTCCAATACGACAGCTCATGCATTTACCTATGTTCACACTACAATCATACCTTGTTCCAATACGACAGCTCATGCAATTACCTATGTTCACACACCTTTTTACATGGGACGCCATGTTAACATTTAGTACCAGATGATAACCTATCCTTTTTATTATCCATTTTGTGACCAGTGGTGTATACACAGTCAAAATGCTTAAAGGGCGGCAGTCGTCGTGTCGCGTCGTATTCGATATGGGACTCATAGCAACGTATACAACGCGTGTAAAATACATTGTTTATGTACATGAAATTCGAACACGCGCTGCGCAACGACCACCGTGCTTTAACTTGTTAGATCACAATTCTCCCAATCATTCATTAAATTACCATACTAGAAATACAAAAATCGGTCTCGGACAAGATTTTATACGATGAATATAACAAAGCATGACATTGTTAAGAATAAAATTACTCGAATTAGCAACAAAAATACTGAGAATTCCTCTGCATTACAATTAGGAGGAGACAAAAACGCAATATCTGTCAAGTCGACACGTACAACAATCGTTATGCACGGCCACAGTCGTCAAGAACGACCATAGTCGCAACACAGCGCCACGGGCATCATGCAGTGCCATAGTTGTCACGCGCCGCCACAGTCGCCACGCCGACGCAGGGCTACAGTCGTCACGCAGGGCCACAGTCGCCACGCGCCGCCACAGTCGCCACGCAGGACCACAGTCGTCACGCAGGACCACATTCGTCACACAAGACCACAGTCGCCATGCAATGTCAGAGTCGCAATGCAGCAACACAGTTGTCATGCAGTGCAACAGTAGTCTTGCAGAGCTGGTTCAAATTCCTAGTAAACAAACAAATACATATCGAAAACTGAGACTGTGCCGCTTTAATAAACAAACCGTGTTTGACAATTGTAACTGTAAAACTTCAACAATATCGAAGTTCAAAATTGAGACAGGACTAATCCCAGACGTAATATAGTACTCTTCCCAATGTATCATACTATTAACCAGTTTGTTAATGAGATTACCTCTCTGACGAGCCACTATAAATTAAATTAAAGTACAGTGACCTTTTTGCAACTCGTTAAAATCTGTAAGTTGATGACTGTGGGAATGACACTCTGAAAACTCCGACACTTCGGCAGACGTTTTATGAATATGTACGCCATCTTGTTTCTGGCTTTTATTAGTTTCGGACAGGGTAAACAAGTTGTTTTTAATCACATACTCGTCACAGCACATTACTAAACATCACAGTCGGCAATGTGTATTAGAATTAATAGAGTTCAATTTTTTTTTTAAATCGCATACCTCATGGCTGTATTGTACAGATAAAACAGATGTCTGTCAAAACCACGCGGAGTACAGGTTCTAATACAGTTCGTATTTATGTATGAGGCGACATAACTCCTATAAGCCAAGCATGGAATCGAATTTCCACATAGGTATTTTTGTACAATATAGGAATTCCACGATGTGTGGAGGTTTTATTAATGTTACATCCGGAGAAGTTAGTTAGTTTAGATTCCATTTGGTATCAATGCCATACAGAGTGAATGCGAACCACTGCTGCTTTGTTTCTTGTATATCTTGAACAGCATAATAAAAAAACTGAGGGGGCGATAGAGGCTATTCCTAGTGATTATTCACACTACCTGCGGCGATGTCCTTGTTTGTGTATATTTTTTTCTATCTTGGTAATGCAAATAGCGGCAACTACGCTAAGATATTTCAACATTGTATTTTTATTCTTCAAAACAAAAACAAATAATAAAATACAATAAAATAAAATAAAATAAAATAAAATAAAATAAAATAAAATACAATAAAATACAATAAAATAAAATAAAATAAAATAAAATAAAATAAAATAAAATAAAATAAAATAAAATAAAATAAAATATAATCTACATAGTAAATTTGCTGTATCACATATTGGTTTTTAATATGGAGTTATCCAGGGTATTGGGGATCCCAGCAAGATATATATAAAATTCTTTAAAAACTGATAGAATGACGTCGTATATAAACTGAACTAAACTAAAAAATATACATCGGTTTGTGTGTCACGAGGTCAGCATATGTGTTTACTGTTACTGTCATCGTTTAATCGTTGACGGAGCCAAAATTTAAATATACAAAACGCATTTATTTAGAATTAAATATACATATATTTAGAACCAAATATATGTTTAAATGATTCGCCCTTGATCACTACACAGTACCAGCATCTCAATTTAATTTACATTGACACGTGACCGTGACAGAGTAAATTGTTTGGATTTTCCGGTTCAGTCATTTCGGATCAACAAGATATCATTTTGAGGTGCATTCCTTATGTTAGGATAACAAACTGACCGTGAACAATCCAGTCACAAACCATGAGATGTCGGTGATGCTAAACAATAAACAAAAAATATGTCTTCTTGCAATATCATCTTAAAAATATGTAAGACCGCTGACCTACACAGCCAATGGTAAGGTTGTCTGGCCACCACGTGACCAACACTGCCATAATAAGTCTCTCGAACATCCACTGACCACACCGTCAATAGTAATTCTGTTCGGCAACCCACACGGCTATAGTAAGTCTTTCCGGTGGCCATGGCCCACAATGCCAATAGTAAGATTTGTCCGGTCAGCACGTGACCCCCACTTTCTGTAGTAAGCTTTGTCCGGTCAGCAAGTGATCCCCAATGCCAATAATAATTTCAAACCAACAAAATTGCAATCAAAATAACTCCAAACTCATAATGAAAAATTGACTGACTTCAAGCCTGTCACCACTTGCACAAAGCTGAAACTATAACGAGACATATGCGGCTGGTGTTTTAATGCACCTCACTAATGCACGTAACGTACGTGTTCTGAAAGAACATTTGTTGTTTTCACACGGCTACCAGAGGATTGGGTTTACACGCAATACATCACTGCTAATAGGAACCCGTTAATGTAATTACGTTGCCATGTGTACTCCAAGGGAAAGGGTGAACTCTACTATTTGCAATTTATGTGTTCTCACGCAAATAAACTAGGCGTGTTAAAACGAAACAGCAAACCAGAAACGCTCCGCGCTATGTTGAGTATGTGGAT